AGTCAACGTGTTAATTTTTACATTTTAAATTATTCTTGTTCCACATTTATAGGATTTTATGAAGATCATTTGAACTTCAATTTTTTAGTCTTTGTGAAAAGTTGTTTCTAAATTTCTTTATATACTATATATAAGAACTCCTAGAAAAAACTTATTTATCCCAAATTTTCATTTTGAAACATTTTAGTACATGCTTTCCCTCAATATTTTAAAAGTTGATTTTTTGTTGAATGTAATATGGAATATGGAAAAATTCTATCAAAAAACATAACTCAGAATCAAAACAGGAGATAAATAGAGATAATAATAATGTGGGATATTTGATTCTCTCCCCCTAATAGTCATTTGAAACATTTTAGCGTGTTTTTCCATTCAGCTGAAACAGTAAAAATATAGAAAATTTCCCCCAGAAACATAATTCAGCTGAGAAACAAAACAGGCAAAAAAATGGATTGGCGCCAGGAAACTGATTGGTCTAAAACAGACTTCTTAAACTTTTTTCAGTCGTGACCCTTTTTATTATAGATTTTTACGCCCCCAAATGAAAATTTATGGGCCAAATTTTGTGGGACCCATAAGCATTGACACACACATGAGTGAAACTGTCATTTTTCACTTTGTAAGATAGTATTGCAGTTTTTAGGTCTATTATCTTTTCCTTCTCATTTTAAGACATAGAACAATGTGAAAATTTTAATTAATTAACTGAAATGACAGCATCACGTGCAAAGCAATAAAATGAACATTTATAATTATAAATAGAATGCGTTGAAACATTTGTTTTTTCTCTTTGTCTGTATTGTCTTATCTTTATCTATTTTCAGATACATTGTGTAAAAATATTGGGTAATTGTAAAATTTTATATTATTAAGTTTAAGAAATGTTACCAAAACTACCCCTGCTGTAGATGGGGGTTGCGATCTACACAGTTTAAGAAGAGTGGTCATTACAAATTTTGGAATTTAGCACCAATTTCACAGAAATATCAAGCAAAATTTTTTTAATTTAGGAGTGGAAAAGTTTTTAGAATTTACTTACAGAGATTGCATAGCACAACAAAATGTACCTGCTGAAGCTAGGACTCCAGTGCATGGTTATATTCTTATAAAGAGTTTATGCCCGAATGCAAAGATGCATTTTGAGTCATCATCGCTAGGTCACCAACCTACACAGCATTGTGTGATACATCATTCAGGTAAATAAGAAATAAAATTGATTGCACTTTAGTTAAAAAACCTAACTCATTGTCCTGTATTATGCAAGAGTGATTGTTTGAATTGAATAAGAAAGAATACAACACTTGCTTCTGTTTCATCTGAAATGGGATGATATTCTAGCAGTTATTCAGCAGAAGTTTGCAGAACGGATCATTCTGTATTTAGTTAGATAATCAAATATACAGCTATGAACATAACATATTAAACCGTAATTCACTTTTCACATTGGACAGTCTATGTTTATCAATTTTCACATAAGTCGTACTTTCCCGTAAAATTTGAAAAATACTCTATTGTATGCTGTTCTGTTGAAGACAAGCCTGAAATCACTTTTTTTTTTTTGCAATTGATTTTTTTTTATGCCTAGGAGTCATTAACCAATTTGCGGGGGGGTCACAAATTCAAAGAAATTTATTTGACAATAAAGATATACGGAATTTGAAGAGAATGTTTTTTAACATTTGAATTTAAATTAAACATTTCCATATTTTAATTCTGATTTTATTGCTTTCTACTTATTTGACGTGTTATTTGACGCTGACATCAAATTTCAAAGCAACTGCACACGCGCAGCTAAGATTTTTTTTTTTCGGATCTTAGCAGTGTCTTGCAGGCAATTTGTAATTGTAATACGCATCATTTATAAGCTATGTTTCTTATTCTAATCAAATTTGTTGTCAAGTAAGCCATAACAATTCCTAAGCATTGGAAAATTCAGTAGTGTCTCAAAGGGATAATAAAAACAATTTTGTTTTCGTTGCAATTTTGTTCATTTGGTTAAATGGCCCAAAATCTCTTGTAAGAGAAATGGGATGGATGCACCAACATCAAATAAACTTCGAGAAAAACTATTAATGTAAATGCAAAAAAACCATTGCTCTCTCTCTTCTAAAAAAATTGAGTAAATATCAAGTAGAGTTTATTTTATACTGTTTTACATGTTGCATTATCAATGGAAAAAGAATATCCATTGTGTGTGTTAAACTGTGAAAACTTGCACATGGAAAGCATGAAACCTGTCGAAAATTAAAAATATTATATTTAGAAACGGTACTTTTCCCGTGTTTTGCCGTCGCAAACAATAAAGTCGCCAACAACGGTACTACTGATGCCAAACGGAATATCTTCGCTGCCAACGTTTTACGCCTCATATTCAAAACAAGTTCGCAGCCCATTTCTTATCAGATTGTTTTCTTTCAATATTGGGCATACAACTACATAGAATTTTACAAGATAATTAAATTTATGCCCAAGACCATTTGCGGTAATTAAGACTAGACGGCAATCACACCACTCACCCAAAGACAAAATCAAGTATTAAATTCATCAATTCTAATGAGAATGCAGTAGCGAAGTAAAGCACTGCGGTTTTACATAATTTTCTCAGTAAGCTATTTGTACGAATTGAAATAATTCTTGCATTTAAACTTCTATTCCAAATTAAGATTTAACTTGAAATTAATGTAGATAATTACTGAGAGAATTAGATTTTTGTAGCGTAGTTTACATGAGATGAGATCACGTGGTGTTACGTGATACGAACCGGCAAATCAGGATGTTGAACCATGAAAACATAGTTAGTAAATTCTTAATGTCTTTTTACAAATTTATTATCTTTATTTATTGGCTTTTTACAAAATTTTAAAAGATATTAAAATACTATAGTTAGTACCGTGTGCCTTCAAATAAAAAATTCTTAGAACTAACGTTTATTAACATTTTTTATGTATTTGTATTGTATGTTGTCGTCAACAAAGTCTGTCTTGGCAAGAACGCAGTGAAACTGAAAAGTACCTCAGAAACTAAACATAAAGATTAAGTAAATAAATCTGAAGAATTTTTTTAGGAATGAGCTGAGAGCATGAAAAATGAAAATGTATTTTTGAAAAAATATACAACAGTTCCTGAGAAGGATTTACAGGCATCCTTACAGGCAAAGTTTCATATTTAATTGTAAAAAATTAAAACCTCATACAATTGGAGAATCGCTCATTCTTCCTTCAGCAATTAAAATGACATCATTTATGCATGCAGAAAAATATAGTAACGATTTAAAAACAATAGCATTAAAAAAGATACTGTTTTCTCACAAAATTTTGTCATATCAGACACTATAGAATAAAATCTAGTCTTTACTATAAACTTGATGAACTACCGAAATTACTAAAATGTTTCAATTCATCGTTTAGGTGAGATTTTTTTGAAAACGACGCAGTCGATATTTTTTTTGTGTAATATTTGGGAAGGAAAAAAGCAACTGGAGAGAAAAATATTTTGAAATTATTAACAGACATTTTGAAACAAATAATCTTACCTAGACACACTGTGTCACAGTTTGTACTAATGTAAGCTTTTAAAACTAAGCCAATACTTTGGTAAGCAGAATTGAATAACAAAAAAAAAAAAAAAAAAAAAAAAAAAAAACACGCTTTTGACAATTTACTAAAGAGAATAATACAGATTTCTTGTTTAAAACAACATATGATAAAATTGACAGAAGTGTTTTTGAAAAATTTCCAAATAAGGAATTAGGTTGGATCTGTGACCCATTTTGGTATTTTCAATTCCAATGTATCTCTAAATGGAAAAAGAACAATTAATTGATTTTAAGTGACGGAATACTGTGTGTTAAGTCTCTAATTGCCAAAAATTTTAGTTGATTGGAAACTAATATCCGATTTAAAAGGAATGAAAGTAAATTATTACGTTTCTTACATAAAATTGTACAATAAACCTTTAGCTTATATTTAAAACTTCTAAAATGCTTATGTTACATTTTTCTGTTATATAAGTATTGAAAGTGGATTTCTCACTGAAATAGAAATAATTTTGCTATTGAATTAACATGGAGAACTTTTTTATTGAAATATTTTTTCTCTGTGACATTAGTTGCATCTACTACAAAATAAAGATTACAGAACTGTTTTTAAAACATTTTGAATTCGTTGTCATATTGATCTACGAAGCATTAGATTAGTGAGTTTTTATTATATTATTGAAAAACATAGTTTTTAAACAATCAAAAAATTTTCAGCAGAGATAATTATTTGTCAAATATGAATGTGTTTTCAAAGAGGAAATAAATAATAAGTGATAAAAAGAAAATTCAGTTAGAACATTCACATCTCTAACAAGTAATTTGCTTTGATTTAATCTTTATAATACAATTTAAATTTAAAATGATGGCAAAATCCAATGTGAAAGGTTATGATTAGATTACCTGTAAGTATTAAGCATTTTCGTATAATCCTATAGCCAGATAATAATAATATTAAAATAAATTTTATCTGAATGAGTTTCTTATTACAGAAACAGTAAAATTATGCAATTACATAAACGAATACACTCTCAGACAATATGCTTATACTGTTGTTAACGCAAGCGCAATTATGTTCTTCTCGCCCTTCAGCGCATGCTCAAGAATTACCATCCAGGCGAAATAGTCGATTTGTCCATGACGTCAAAAATTCGAAAACTGGGGTAGGGTTTGGAAATACGCTTCCCGGCTGCCGATACCGTCACCATCGAGATGGTGACGCCGATACGCACTCTGTTGAACTTGCGGATTCTTCTGCGGAGTAAACCTTGAATGTTTCAGGCTGCAGCTTTCAAGTATTTTCATTATTCAAGTATCTTCATACAGTTGCAGCTACCTCCGTTTTCGTATTTTCCCAAGTGATTTTTTTTTTTTTTTAAAGATATACTAGAGATAGGGAGGATTATTAAAATATATTACGATATGTCTGTGCCTAGGTATCTGTTGTTCGCGCTACTCAATTGACGCATGCGCAATATATTCTGAGTACTCTGTGCAGAACTTCGAAGAGCAAATCTCTGAAATCTGAAATTACTAGGTTAAATCATTTGGACTTGTACTATGGGTTCGAAGGCTTTGAAGTTGGGTCCTATTCTGAAAGAATTGCGCATACATTTATGTCAGAAATCAAAGGAGAGTGCTGGAGTGAAGTATGAACACATGATTTTTCACTAAACGCTTTTAATTCTACACTAAAGCCAAAGAAACATTCATTGTGTGATGGATAATTGCAATTAGTCTAGTTTAGTGGCATTTACGCGTTCATCACATCTTGGTAATTTTTCAATAACTAACAACAGCGATTTTGATTATGAATTTGTTTTAGCTATTGAACTACAAAAATATAGATTTCAGCAAAAATTTTTTGCTTAAAGAATGAAAAACACCTTACGGTACCTTTAAAATCGTATAGTATGTCTTTCGATACCCATGATAGAGTATTCTCTACTTTTATTTTGTGTTCCAAATGCATAGTGAATGCACTGAAATTAAAGATTTGCGCATGCCGAAAAGGAAATATGTATGGGTATTTATGCATATGCTTGCAAAAAACATGTATCTGCCTCTAACAAAATAGATAAATATTTAGTAAATTATTTATAAATGTATCTGAAAAGAAGGATTTATTCATTCATAAACTCCAGTGAAGAAATGTAATTATTAAACGTATCTAAATTTATAATGATTATAAGTATAGTATAATAACCTTACTATTGAATTATAAACATAAATTGAAATCTAGTTGACAAATACGTTTATAAAACTATTTAAGCAAGAATTGTTCGTTCTGGAAAGCAATCTGTTAAAAGGTATTGTAAAGCAAATTCTATGAGATGCTTACTTAAAGAAGAATTTTAGGATATGTATTGTTGAAATTATGGGTTAAAAAAATCATAAGTATAATTAAAAAAGAATTATTCCCTTACATTTTATAATAACACAGTTACAAGTTTTAAATAATATGTTTTTTTATTCCTTTTCAGAATTATTCTGAGAAAGTTAAGTATATGGAAATGAGCAGCAATATTTAACATATTTTACTATTAAAATAAAAGGTGCTCTAAAATGGACCAAATAAAGCTATAATTATAAATTGGCTTGGTTTTTTTGATTTAAAAGATGCCTCAGAAGCTAAAAAAATCATGTCATATTTGAAAAAGTATTTTAGGAAGAAGCTCTATAAATAGGAAACAAATAATGCATAATTTTAATATTAATAATGCAATAAACTTTGATCTTACTTTTTGTAATCCTTAACCGAATAAAATTGAATTACCTTAAAAATTTTTTTTTTCTAATGTGATTAACGAAAACTTGTGAAAATATTTCATTCAAATTAAACCGAGCAAACTGCTCTGTGAAAAAGTGAAGCATTTAATTCTGTTCAGAATGAAATGGTGTTTAAAAATGTATCCTGTTCACATACTTAAATATTGTAGAAAAAGAAAACATATATGTAAATTTATGACGTAATTACAAAATATTTGCATCCAATCGTGTCAAAACCCACTGATCTTAATGGTAAGTTACTGAATGTTTTGGTCATCATGAAGGGATCACCAGCTCATCAAAGCAATATATGGAGAAAACCAGTTAGGGCCTCTCCTTTTTACTTCCTACGTCCATGAACTGCACAAGCAATAATTGTAAAAACAATTATAGTAAAAAAAAAAAAAAAAAAAAAATCAAACCAAATTGGCACCAAGGAAGTATGACAAAACAAAAAAGGTACCATGTGGTGCAGCTTTAATGAAAAAGTTCCTTTGGGAGGAGAACTGCTAAAGTCATGGTTGTCATTGTCACGTTGCTAGTTTTCAAAAACAGTATCTCCCACAGAGAGAGGCTTTTGCATTTTTTATTTGCATGCTTTGTTTTAAAAAAAATCCTCTTGTAGGGTTGCACCATTACATGTATTCTGTGAAAGTAAATTGTTTTTTATGCAGTGTCCTGGACTTTTTTTTTTTTTTTTCTCTTTCAGAGAATATAGTTAATTGAACAAATAATTAATAAGTATTTATAAACCTTTGATAGTAAAATAGCATTAAATAACAAATTGTTATTTGTTGAATTATTAGTATTTTCATATTAATTATTTACCTATTACTTATAAAATATAATGAAAAATAAATTGATTTTTCAGAGAATTCATACAGAAGCATTATGTTCCGATAAAGAAGAACAATCCTGAATTTCCTATTTTGATACGAGAATGTAAAGGAGTGGAACCAAAAATTTATGCTAGATATGGTATGTGTTATATACATAGAAAGTTGTTTGATATAGATAAAAAATATTTTCTTGATGTAGATAGAGCTGAATATCTTTGATTTCAACTTTTTTTGTCAACCAGAAGTGAAAGTGCTTTTGCAGTCAATTAAATTGTAATTTAAAAGAGAGATTAATTTTAAAGACCTTATCAGAAAAACTGTATTTTATATAAAAAAAAGTTGTGTATTAATATCTAAAAGTGAACCATGCCAAAAAATGTTGAATACATTTAAAAAGTACTCTCTGGCAGATTCCTTTGAAATGGAAGTTTTTCTCTGAAACCAACTTTAGTCTAAAATTCAATTTCGTTAGGAGGAGTATAAAGCTGAGAATCTGCAATCTTGAAATATAAAGGACAGTCGTCCTCGAGATTTTCTACTCTGGTTTCTTGTAAATCGTAAGATTTCCTACGACAGGGTTCTCAAGCTGAATTGCAGTTTTAATGCCATAAAGTTATTTAGATTGTATACTTTTTTCATTTATCTAATTACTTTATCCTCTTTTTTTGGGGGGAGGGGAGGTAGTATTTTCATATTATGTGCTGAGTGTGTGGGAAGGAAGTCCGAAATTTCATTTGGTATTTGAGAAATTTTCTCTGCTGTTGATATGTGTGCATTAAATTTTTAAACACAGGACAAAGACATTTGAGTAAGAATTCCTTTAGCACAGTTAGGAAAGAATAGCAAGTTATAATAATTATGATTCTTTATTAAGGAAAAAATATCACTCAGTAAAATAAGTTGAAATCCGCAGAAACATTAAAAAATAAATAAAATCTGAAAGCTTTCAAATTTTACATCAATTTTTTAACGTTTTGTGTGATGCCTTTGTTTGTTAGATATCATGTTCTTCACACTTATATTTATAAATAACAGCAATATTAAACCATAAAATTTAATTCAACAGCAATATCATAAAATAGTTTTTAAATGAGCATATCTTTAGAATTTCTGATACACAGTCTCGCTTGCTGGAGATAAAATGCCCCCACCCCCCCGTACAGTGTTGCCATTGCTCGCTTTGAAATTGTTGAGTTCGTTAATGAAAAATTCGTTAAACTATTACGAAATATGAAATCTATAATAAAACAAATTTCAAATTGGGGCTCCCACATTCCGCTGTTTGATGGAGAATTATGTTATTCAAAACTTGATGGCTCTAGATACTGTTGTTTTATCACAATGCGAGAAACATACATACATTTATGCAGATTCTTCATTATTTAATTTCTTTAAATATAACACAAACAATAATATTTGGTGGCAACAAATTGAAAAGTGAAATGGACATTTAAAGTTTTCGATGCAAAATGCCAAAATGAAATTAATAGCCCTTCTGGGCTAGTAAATTAATATTTCAAATGACATTTACATAAACTAATTTATTCCTTTTGAAAAATGCCAATTTTAGGTGGCATGCTTGCTGCTTGATCATTTCTGAAAAGAATGATGGTAGAATGGTTGAAATGGCTAAATTTCCCAGTTAATCCTGTCTTGCCAATTTTGTACCTTTTGGCACATGTCTGATCAAGGTTTTTGAGCTTCAGTATACGAAAAGGATAACTAAATTCTTCTAACTGCTGCAACTGTATTTTATTAAAAAATATTCTAACATTATATACATGTCTTTAAAAATATAACTGCTGCTTTCAGTGAGGATTTTTATTTCAAGCCAATATTACTCCTACTTTTTTTCCCTTTCACCTAATATTTGAAAAGAATTAATCAGAAATATTGGTGAATATAACATATGCATAAGAATCTAAATGAAGTAAGTTCAAAGCAATAATGCTGAAATTTAATATGAATTTTAATACATATATAGACTAAGCACATTTCTACAAATATTCATCTGTCATTTTGATTAACTTTGCTAGTAGTTTATTGATAGCAGTTGAATGATACTTGTAATGTGTCTGATAGCAAACAGATAAAATTAATAGATAATTAAATAAACTGCTGGCTATCCCAAACTCAGCACTGTGAAGGAAGCACCCAAAGCATGAAACTTTCATCATGTGTATACTGCAGTGTATTCAAATTACAGTTTCAAAACATGTGCACATCATGGGCAACTGCAGTGCTTCTTACAAGCCATGTGTAAATGTAGGAAAAAGGTACATTTCCGTTTCGCAGGCGCAAATCTCGTCAAGCAGACTTTGTTGCCGACAACATACAGTATACACATAAAAAATATTAACAAACATTAGTTCTAAGAATTTTTTATTTTGAAGGCATAAACATTTTAATAAGGTTTAAAATTTTGTGAAAAGCCAGTAAATTTGTAAAAAGACATTAATTTAAGAATTTACTATGCTTTCATGGTTCAACATCCTGATTCGTCGGTTCGTATCATGTGACCCCAAGTGATCTCATCTCACATAAATTACGCTACAAAAATCTAATTCTATCAGTAATTATCTACATTAATTTTAAGTTAAATCTTAATTTGGAACACAAGTTTAAATGAAAGAATTATTTCACTTCGCTAGTGCATTAGAATTATGAACTTAACCCTTGATTTTGCCTTTTCTACATTTTCACCTTTAGGTGAGTGATGTGATTGCATTCTAATTGACTTAATGCGAATGGTTTTAGGCATAAAATTTTAACTATCTTGTGAAAATTCTATGTAATTGTATGCCAGTATTAAAAGAAACAATCAGTCTGGTAAGAAATGGCTGCGACTTGTTTTGAAAATGAGGCGTAAAATGTTACCAGCGAAGATATTCTGTTTGGCATCAGTTGTACCATTGTTGGCGACTTTCGTTTGCGCCGGCAAAACGGAAAACCGGTTGAAATTTTGATACCATTTTGAATAATGTGAATTGTTTTCTTGCAAGTTTTTCTTCATAGTGCCTGATAGGAACATGGGCATCATTCAAGTATGTTTCTGAGTTCAACCAAGGCAGAATCGTTGCATGCAGAGATTGCAGATTATCCTTCCAGGAAATCAGTCATCTGTTTGGATGTATCCAATCAACAGTCATGTGAGTATGCAGTCAATGGATGCAGTTGGGAACAACTGACAGACAAGAGCCTCATTGTATCACTTAATGGGAAAACATGTTTATTGTGCACATGGTACTGGTGGAGCGCTCTGCCACATCTGCAACCATACCACAATGAATACAGTCGGTAACACAAATCAGTGTCTTCTAGAACAGTTCATCATTTGCAGTACAGTGGACTGTCTGGTATGTGTCCATTGATTCCCTTACCTGTATACTACAGGCATTTGCGTTTCTAATGGTGCACTGAATAGCAGAGGTTCGAATGGTGTAACATTCTGCTTTCAGACAAATCGTACTTCTGCCTGAAGATGGGAGTTTGGAGTCACCATAGAGAGAGGCTGCTTGTGTGTTGTAAAATTCATCTTCATACTAGTCCTCCACCCTATGTTACGGTGTGGGTTGGTATAGGATTCCACTTCTGTATACCCTTAGTAAACATTATCGGTAGTACCACAGTGGTAAGATTGTAGTTAGGAGTCACCACAGAGAGAAGCTGCTTGGTTGTTGTAAAATGCATCTTCATACTAGTCCTGCACCTTATGTTATGGTGTGGGGTGGCATTGGATTCCACTTCCGTATCCCCCTGGTAAACTGACTAGTCAACTCTATATCGCTGAGGTTTTGCAGCTTGTTCTCTTTTCTTTCATTCAGGGCTTACGTGCAGCCATATTTCAACAGGGCAGTGTGCAAACACATTGCACACAATGTAAGCTTTCATCTTAGCTCATCATATTATACCTGAAAGAAGGTTGTATTTCAAATCAATTAACATTGATACCCTGGAATAAATTTGGCTTTGATATCTTGTGTCCTTTTGGATTATCAAGAGGAGGAGTTGTATTTCAAATCAATTAACATTGATACCCTGGAATAAATTTGGCTTTGATATCTCGTGTCCTTTATGTTACATTTTGGATGGTATGTGTCTAAAGAAAGAAGTAATATAAGTTTCAAGGTTCTTATTGCCTGCCTTGATTTGCACATTGAATTGCTTTAATGTTTGATAAAATTTGGATTATCAAGAGGAGTTATAAATTTGTAAATAAAATAAGGATACAAATGTTTAAAAGAATAAGGTAATATTTGTAAGGAAGAAACAAATCTGCTGAGGCTGTTCACACAATTTTAGACAATTTTGATGTATTTACAGGAATATACACTGCTGGCCATTGTAAATGCAACACCCTGAAGGAAGCATGCAAATAACATGAAATTTACAACATGCATTAGCGGAGGTGAGATATGCAAATGATTAGAATTTCAGCGCAGACGCACTTCACGCACTCCTGTGGCGCCACTTCAAAGCGCTATTTAAGGCTTGGAGTTTTCAATGATTTCAAGTTCGGCAATTGTGCTTTTCTTGTGGTTTTTTAAAAAAAAAAACGATCAGTTATGCCATGTAGTAAACAGCGATCATCATTTGATCAAGTGTCCGAGTTCTACAGAGGAAGGATAGTGGCCTACCGAGAGTGTGGATTATCTTTCAGGGAAATCGGTAGTCGTGTCGGACGAAACCAAACAACTGTAATGCGGATATGTGACCTTTGGATACAGGAAGGTATGATGGACCGACGTGTTCGATCACATCCACCTTAGCGCACCACTTCATGACAGGAACATTGTGCGCATGGCAGTGACGGATCACTCAGTCACATCACAAACCTTAGCACAGCACATTCAGTCTATAACGCATCATCCAGTGTCTGCTTGTACCATTCGACGCCATTAACAGCAGAGTGGTCTGTCCGCAAGATGTTCATTGCTTCGTCTATCCTTGATGCAGAACCACAGACATCTCCGCCGCCAATGGTGCGATGAAAGAAGGATGTGGACGGCAGAATGGAATGAAATTGTCTTTACTGTTGAGTAGCGCTTCTGTCTGCAACACCATGATGGTTGGATTCGAGTCTGGAAACACCGTGGAGAGACTATGTGGAACAGCTGCATTATGCACCGTCAGACTGGCCCTGCACCTGATATTATGGTATGGGGCGGTATTGGATATCACTCTCGCACTCCTCTAGTACGCATTGCCGGTACTTTAAACAGCCAGCACTACATCTCCAAGGTATTGGAGCCAGTTGTCCTTCCTTACCTTCAGGGCTTGCCCACAGCAATGTGGGTAAAGAGAAGTTATCACATATTTGAAAATTGCATATAAAATATGTTCCTGATAATATGTGGAATTGATCTTAAAATTTCTCTCTTTTTATTTTTTATTTGCTGCTATAGGAAAAACCAGCAGCAGTAATAAAATCCCTTTGAAAAACTTTCTTTAATTAAGACACAATAACACGCCGAATAAATACTAATTCAGAAGTCAAACAACAAAAATCAGCGTTAATTTAAAATTTTTTTTTTTTACAAAATATTTTGTAAATTAATGCTGATTTTTGTTGTTTGACTTCTGAATTAAACTTTCTTTAGTTGACTCACCTTCAACTTTTTGCTGCTTGCCAAGTCAGTTTCAGATATCTCGTTACAAATTTCCAGTTTATAACCACAGTTTTTAAATGGTTATACCTTTTGATACAAGACTAAGTCAAAAGTTGCCCACCAGCGGCCGAGCGGTAAAGCCGCTGAACACTGGTAGTTCGGTCCGAGGTTCGAATCCCGCGAACGGGCTGGCTGCATGGGTGTTTTCGTGGTTTTCCCCATGTGTAACGTGTATACGAGCCAGTTTCCCTTAGAAAGTCCTCCACGAAAGGCATCCCTCCTCTTAGGCAGATAGCCCTAGTGTGCTTTGCCATAATTAAATACACCACACCTAAGTCAAAAGTTCTTTTTGAGGAAAATATAAACTCAAAAGACTAATCTTAATAAAAATTTCAGATGATACTTAAAAATGAACAAGTTAATAAATTATTTAAAGAAAATTCTCAAGCTTATTAGGATTAATAAATTTTAATTATCAGAAATAAATGATATATGGTTGATAATTTTTACACAATAATCTAAAGCAATAGATTGTTACGAGAAAATCTGCATCAGTTTTAGGTATCCTATTGTGTAATGGATAAAACGTCTTCTGGAGTGAAAGACTGTGGATTCAAGTGCCACAGGGAGTGGTGTTGTAACAGAGTTGGTATTAAAAGAAAATATTTGCAGAAAAATTTATTGCTGCTTTCAGAGTAGTGCAGATGCTTATTGAGTTGCCTGAAGGTGAAATTTGAAAAACAACTTTCCTTGCAAGACATCTTAATGCAGAGACAACACATTGAGTAGATAATTCAGACAGTACTAAATATTTGTATTACAGGTTTAGGCCTTACTTTTCCTGATTCTAATGGTGCGAGTACACTGCATTTTTTGTTATCTACTGCGACTTTTGTGTGTGTGTGCACAAGAAATTTGCATTTATTTATCATTGATGATTTTCTAATTCATAAGATGATCTGATTCTGTAATGATCGATGCCAGATTAGCAAAAGTGATGCTGGTATTAATATAAAATTGCAGTTTTAAATAATTTTTAAAATTCAGTGAGTTCCTAATTTAAAAAAAAAAAAAGTGGTGATGAGTAAACCATCTGTTTAAAAAAAATTTGAAAACTATTATTTATACAGAAAGGAACCTTGTCAGTGTGTAGCTGCTTTTACAGAATACTTCAAGGCATTTTAATTTTAATGATTTCATGTATGTTTTCCTAAACATTCACGACCATTTTTCAGACAACCTATATAAGAACTTAGCCAGAGGTTTAATCATGATGATAATTTTTTATTAATTTAAAGAAGACCTCCATGAGCATTAGCAAGTTACTAATTGTGGAATCCAATTTTTAAAACAGAAAAAAATGTATGAAATGCCTTTACTTTATTGAGTTTTAGGCAAAAGTGATTTTATAAAACAAAACTTTAGAGAGTGGCTCTTCTTTAATACATTGACTAATTGAAATAATTACAGTTACATTTAAGGAAAAACACATGTAGTTAAAGCAGAAACTATGTTTCAAAACACTTTTTTAAGTTTCTGTTATTCATTAATTTTTTTTAAATAACTGCTTCCTTTTTTCAAGTATTCCTATAAATCCTATATATATTTAAACAAAATACTATTTTTATTACATTAATTAAAACAATTATATTAAGGTAAGTTCATACATCATGCAAAAAATTTTATGGTTTTCTATTCCATGAAAAATTCACTCTCTAAAGTCAAAATTAAATAAATTAGATACATATAAAGAGCCTTTACTGTGATATCCTATTCTTATCTACAATAGGATTCTTTTTTGCAATATTTTGGCTAAAATTAGTGATCTTTTTTTGGTTAAATGATTCAAAGTGGGCTAGAAATTCATTCAACTGATGAGGCATCATGTGAATGTAACTAAAAGAAATTTCGATGTCTTTCAAGCGGATTTCTTCAGTTAAATTATTTTCATCTCCTTGCTGCAGTCATCTCTCACATATGAATATAAACCACTGCTTTCTACTACTCTTACATAAAGCAAAAAGAAAAAAAAAAGTTTTAATCTACCGGAAATTGGATCCACTTTAATTAAAATATATAACCGTAAAAAGCAAAAATGCCACACAAAAATTCATGTTTTTTCCCAAGCGTCTGGTATGTGCATGTGATAACTGTTAAAGTGAGTTTCAACCCTGGTGTGAACTGACGTACATGTAAAGCATTTTTTCCTGTATTTCCACTTCTTACTCCAATGGACCCGTGTGAATGCAGCTTTAGACAAAGGAAGTCACTTTCCATTTCCCCACACATGCCATCTTTTGCAGTATGAAAATAAGTGATGTTTGTTTTCTTCTTATTTGTATATAGATTCATTCGAAATCTCTGATGATAGTGCATGAACTATAAACTCAAAAATTTTAGCTACAAATAACTTAGAGTGCAACTTGCTCAACAGAGTGAAAATAAGGTCATTGAAGACACAGGACATAAGTTAGTCTGGAACTGAGATGTGTGTGAATTTTGATGGGAATTAGTTTCTTTGTAAATCTGTATGTCTTAAAATTGTTCTGTATTAATGTGTTTGAAAGACAAATAAAGCTTCTATATTCATTTTTATTATTTTTTAACAGATTTTGGGAAAGAAACTTCACTTTCTCTAAACAATTATGACAGTGAGAGAATATTGGATGTGGTAAAGAAATTAGCTGCAGCAACTTGAAGATACAGTATTTAATTTAATCTCTTGTAATATTTGTTTACATAGATATCTGTAGCTAAGTTTACTTTTAAATATTGCTGTATCCCTTTAAAGGTGTAATATTTGTTAGTTATTGTTAACTTTTACAAAAATTTATGTCAATAAAGTTTCTTTATTTGAATATTGATCTCTCAACTATTCTTTATTTTTAAATGACTTGTTGTCAATATTCATTATAATGACCATCTGCATCATACAGAAAAAATATATCGTTGGAGGGTAATAAATAGTTTTAGTTTACGCTTAACAGCTACATGATTAAGATTTTAAAGAAATCCTAGATGCAGGATACAATAATCAATTAATGTTCACTTTATTAGCGTATAAGCATTTGCAATAATATATATATACAGTCAAAAGTCGTTAATTCGGACACCCATAATCCGGACCTCAAAGCTACAAACTTTCTGCGCATGCATCGCGTTTACGCATGTGCACAGGCGTTTACGAGAGCGCATAAGACCCTTACAGCTGCGAATATGTTTGTGCGCATGCGCTTTTAATGTGTAACGGAGTTATACGCTAAGCTAAAGTTATCTAATTCAGTTAATGTTGCAGATTGCGTTGTTCCTTAATCTTCGAATTGGATCCGGCTTATTATTTTTTGCAGACTGTTAGAGCAATTTTATAAAAGTAAGCTTGAACTTTCAATTATGTCAAATAGAATTTCCGATATATATTTACTACAAAGCGAAAGTATGTTTTGAAATCCGAAATCTGTTTTATCAATTTCACGCTGCTCTGCGGCAGAGGGGGGGGGGCAGAAACGTCATTATTAGATTATGATAGATTAGAAAGATTATGTCAAATAGAATTTCCGATATATATTTACTAATATGTAATTTGTATCTACAAAGCGAAAGTATGTTTTGAAATCCGAAATCTGTTTATCAATTTCACGCAGTTCGGCGGGGGGAATGCCTCGGCGCACAATGATTTGGAAGTTGATCTGTCATCACTATCCTTATCTTCAGAGGCAGATGTTTTTATTTTATTTGGTTTATAATTCCGTACTAAGTGTAGTATTTCATCTTCGATATACTCCGTCTTTGATATGATTTAAATCAAGTTCCTCGTCATTATAATTCGCTTCCGATAGTGAAGAAAGTGACCCAGAGGTTATTGAAAACGAAAACATCTCGATTGACAAATTAGTCGGTATTCTCAACACAGCAATTATAGGACTTGAACAGCGGAACTTTGTAACTAAACAAGAAATTATGTCTGTTTAATAGAATTAAAGAGAAAGTATTATCACATGAAACGAAGCAACTTACATTGAAGGAAATGTTTAATAAAGTAAACAAATAAATATTAAGCTTTTTCTTTTTGTAAATTTTGATAACCTTTAGATCATAATTGTTCTTTATTTCATAAATTACGGTTTCATATTTTTAATTTTGTAATTTCTGCATGCCATCTTACCAGATTTAAACTGATGACTCCGGATTAACGACTTTTGACTGTATATATATATATTAAGAAATCAATATTTATTTCTAAACTTTAAAGTAAATATAAAAATTTTTAAAAATATTTGTTGTGCTTCTTGAGTATGCTATCAACATTTACTTCCTTAAAAAGCAATCAAAACTTACTTCCTTAAAAAGTAATCTGAAATCTGAATTTATTTTTATGCATTCAATAGTTCTTAAAATATAATTTTCAGTCTGAGAATGATAAGTTATTACCCCCAGGAAACATTTTAAATTGGGAACATATATAATGATTTTTATATTATATAATGTCTTTAATTAAATGTGTTTTTGATCCAATGCTGATGCCATTTTTTTTGCTGTGCATGATAGTAAGAAATGTCATGTCATTTTTGGACAGATTTTCTGCACATCCTAGGTCTAGTCAGTTGTAACATAATTTCCCAAACCAAACTTTATTCAAATTTACTTCCTCAAAAATGTTCTATAGCATTCCTTTTTATCGAAATTTTGAACACTGATTATCTGAATAACTGAATATTAAGATGTTCAGTTATTGATAGTGGAAATTTTTCAGTATTCGACATACAAGAGACCTGTTACATATTCAGTTTTTCTCTTCCCACTTATAGTTTTATCTTAAAAATCTGAAGAACTAGCAGATATCACCTTGAAAATGGTCTAAACTAATGTGCGTTAATGTATGCCTTCTGGGGCATATTTACCAGTTATGTTCTTCACTTCTTTTTCATATATGTTATTTCATAGTTGATTAATTTCTTGCTAAACTTCTGTATAATTCATTTGAAGCTTTTAATCTTACTCAAGATTATTTTTTGAGATAAAAGAAAAAAAAAATTGTTTCCCTTCAGAAAATTTCTGTCTAGTAGAAATTATTATTTCTATATATTCTGTCTTTTGAATATATTAGTTTTGACATTCGTATAGTACTTTTTCAAATTGCTGAAATTCATTTTCTCATGACCAACTTCATAAAATGGGGATGCATAATTTATTGTATGAATATGTGAATTAAGCAGCAGCCAGTCATAATATAACTGTAGAAGAAATATAATTTAGGTATGTAAAAGTCCGTTGCATGATTGGAAGTTTATTCATACAAATAGTATGGTTGTTCCTTAATCACAATTCAAAATTAATGCACACTAACATAAAAAAATTTAATCTCAGGTTTTACTACAATAATAATTTGTAATTGGGAAATACATATCAGAATTATGTTCGCTAACATGAAAACATTTCATCTGAGATTCTAGTAAAATAATAAGTTTTAATTGGGAAATTCTTAAAAACAGAATTAAATTCTTTCAATACCTGTTTATGTTTGAAATTTTAGGATAGTAAGCAGGGGCACTTATCAATAGTTAAGAATTATGTTCAGTGTAGGCATGCAGAAATTGTATCTTGCAACTCATTTAGTATTCTTTGTATCTGAATAACTTTCTGGATTCTTATGCAATTTCTTTCACTGAAAAATTTTATCTTGCAGAGTAGAAATGGGTAAGTTCTGTATAGCAATCTTAATGCATTGAGCGTACTGTTTGTTAAAACGTGCAGATGTTAGCATTATTGCAGCTTTTGTAAATGACAAAACTCAAGTTGAATTAAATATGTTTTTCCCTTGCTTCATAAAAGTATTTCCCACCGTATTTTTGTGAGACATTTTATAAAGCAAGCAGTTACCACTAATTGATGTGGGAATAGTCTTTGAGTATTTTCAAGCCTCTAAGAAAACTTTTCAAATCATACCAAACTGTTCTAAAATAACATTAAAATAAACTATATACCAGTGACTCTCAACCGTTTTTGCCTCATGCAAGCTTTTTACCACTGCTTGAAGATTCCTCTATCTACTTTCCAAAGCTATATAATAATAGAAAAAGTAATACATATGTATTATGTATTATTTTTCTATATTTAAACTATTTTTTAACAAGTTTTTATAAATTAAACAATAAAAAGTACAGAAAAATACTTATAAAACAAAAACTTGAATAAACATAGTTTTATATATATATGTATATACTATATATATATATATTCATGAAATGAAACTAAATACTTGACAGCAAAATAAAAGGCTCACTACATTTTCCACTGAAACTAAACTGAAATTTGCCCCAGTTGAGAACCCCTGTTATACACACCATAGACAGTTTCACAACCAAAACTGAGAAGAAAGCAAACTCACTGAAAAACTTTATAGTTAGTCAAAGCTGAATTAAACATTAAGCAAAATAAGCATGTGCTAAGGGCATTGAAAGAACTTAGCTTTGTCTGTTTTGTCATGGAATGCATGATGCAGCTAAATCAAGACTGAGAGAAAAAGCAATGAGGGAAAAATTTGACTTAAATGAATGTGAGAGAACGAAATTTTTAAGTGCATGAGGCCAAAAGTCAATCTAGCCCACATTGGATTTTGAATGTTGTTCAACCATATTGCTTTTACCTATAATTGGGGCATGCTGTAGGCATATGGCAGTAATTAAAAATAAGTGCCACTGAAATCGGCGAAAATTCTGGTCTGCTTGAGTTGGATATGATTTAGTCTTGTCTGGCAGAAATGCTGTTCAAGAATACAAAGTGTTATGTACACAGTATACAAAGACAGTAATTGATTAATATGCCATGATGAGTATTCATGGTCTTTGAATACATTTCTACTGTAGGGTCATAATGTCTGCAAATTTAACAGTGTGGGTCACATGTTGAAAATGTAATTTTCTTGAAAACGTTATGCAAGCTCTAAAGAATAAAACCTTGTGCATGTTGCACTTTCAGATCTTCATGTAATTCTGGTTTCTGATAAACTATGATGCATTTGTAATGGCTTTTAAAACCTTATTCTGAAACAGCATTAGTTTCTTCCTGACAGTTTTTAAAACTATAGCCCATATAGGTATGGTGAAAAAAGTGCAGATCTTATTTGGATGAGAAAGTCCTTTTGAAATAAGGTTTAATTTGGATCATCTCCCCCTGAGACTGTATATATCCATAAAGGCTGCATTAGCTTTGTTTATCGCATAGATCATCTGCTATTTAAAATTCAGTTGTGCATCTAATATGATGCCTAAATATTTAGTTGAATTTATTATTGAAAATAATTTATTATTCATTGATATATTTAGGTTAGCTAGATGATTTTTCTTACAATGTCTAAATAAAATGACATTGTATTTGCTTGCATTTAGTTTCATTTTCTGTATTTTGCACCAATGTGCTACAATATTAAGTTTTAATTGTAGTTTGTCAGTGGCATGTTTTAGCCCTGGTGGCAGTTATGAGTGTGCATGGAGTTTTCAGATGTGGGTGGTGGATGATTCAAGATCTTTGGTATACAAAAGAAAGGACAAGGGTCAGTTGTTGGTATCTTATGGTCATTTTTAAAAGATTTCTTTGTCAACAGTTTCAGTGCCTGCCTTATATGCCTGAAAGTTAAAATTTGTTGTACTGTCTCCATTGTGAAAAGTTTGGCAGGAGATAATATGCCTGGTTCCCAAGACTGGCGTATTTTTTTACTACCATATAGCTCTCTGTGGGTAATCCAAGCATCTTCCAAAAACTACCTTTCTATATAATTAGTCATTTTTTTCTGCATAAAGAAGCTGAATCAAAATTTTGGTTTTAGTCTTTTTTTCGTAAAGTGAAGTTCTGAAGAGTGAAAATTCTCTTCGGATTCCTTTCATTAATTAAGTAGGAACTGATTTAGGTCTTTCATAAAAGTTAAATTTTGTAGTAAGATATATCCATAATGCTAAATAATATCTATGAGATGCCCAAATGGATTAGATAGAAATTTTAAATTGTTTATATAGAATTTTTTTATATATTAGATAGAAATTTTATATTGTTTATATAGAATATTTATTTTATTTTACTTTTAGAATTAAAAGATGTAATAAAATTAGAGGATTTAACAGTAGGGATAGGTATTTTAACCCAACACTGTACTAAGCCTTTTAAAGAATTTGGTAAATTATATCATATTATGAAAAGTGCATATAAGATCAGGGATACTAAATAGGGGTAATTTATCCAGGGCTTAATTTTTAACAGACAACTGGCTACAAGGAGTTTTCATGTTTTCTGCATGTGTAAAATTAATAGAAGACAGATTTTTCTAAGCAAATTCATCCATGAAAATACTACTTATAAAAGAAAGCTTCCTTTTCAGTGCTTGCCCCAATCTTATGTAGGATTTTTCTTTTAAATCATTGCATTCAGTTAATCATCTTATTTGCTTGTAACAGTTTTTAAAATTTTCAAAAAATTGAATGTGCCTTAAACAGGAGTAGCTTTAGCTACAAAAATTGAAGTACAAATAATTAGTTGTATTCTATGATTCGATTAAAAAATTATGCAACTTCTTTAAACATAGCTAATTTTTCTTTAATTAAGGATATAATTAACATGAATAAATATTTCATTTTATAACAAACTTTTTATCGATCTTTACCTTTTTTGCAGGAATGGGGTGATGTTATTTGTAGTTTTGTTTATATTCTGCCTTCAAGAAATGTAACCTTAATTGTACTGAATATTGTTTTCCTTCAAGTACATTGCTAATGTTCTTATAATCAGAAAAGATTCTCGATTTTGATGAAATTTTTAGCTGGTTTTTCATCCAAAAAACATTGTTTTATAATTCAGATTTTTTTTTTTTTTTTAATAACAGAATTAGTTCTTTTGTCTGATTTATGCAGAAGATTGAAGCTGTTACCATATTTGACGGCATATAAGACGCACTTTTTTTCCTTAATTTGGTCTCGAAAAAGTTACCTGCGTCTTATACATGAAGGACACAGTCTTATACGTGAAGGTAATTGCATTCAATAATTGTTTATTTGGCTTTTACAAAACGTAAGAACTAAAAGAAACCACGTTATTGAAACTCTTTTTCCTTGTGTGTGGCCATCTAAATAAAGGTGCGTCTTATATGCCGTCAAATACGGTATATGTTATTGTCAATTTCTGTAATTTATTAGAACTGATAATTTAATTTTTTATCAGAATCTTTTTCATATTATCAGGTTTGTTAGCATGACTAGTTAATTTTTTAGTGAGATTATTGAGAAACGAAACTGTATACAAGTCTCTTTTTATATTAAGCATCAAAACTGCTCTAGATATGCATATAAAAGGATTAAAACTAGATCAGAATTTAATTTGTTATTCAACAATCACTGAAGTGCATAACAAGAGAGAAAACTGTATATAAGATTATTACATTACTTTGCATTATTAGTATTTCTTAAATTCCTTTTTAGTAGATATGAATTTCTAACTTTTTATGTAAAGGACTTAAAAAGCTGTGTACTTCTTTTGATCAGTTTTAATGTTCCTAAATTTTTTATGTAGAAGTTAGATTTATCTCATCTTCATTTTAATTGGCTCTTACTAGTATCTCTTTCTTAAAAAAATTTTTCTTTAAGTAATAAAATAAAATTATTATCTTTTCAAAAATGTGTTTTAATTAAAAATTTTTTAAATGCATTTGACTGGAGAAAAAAAGCTTACACTATCAGAATTTTTTTTTCTTTCAGGTTAGCAGTTAGAAATAAAACTGATGTATATTCTGTTTAAATATAAGAGTGATTTCACTTTTTAAGGATTTGGAGAGTAGTTAACTTTTCTTAATAGATATATGTTATAGTTTTCTTCTTTCATCTTAAGTTTACAAAATAGATCAAAATGTGTAAAGTAAAATACTAAAGCTCATCTGAATAATTTAAGTCCTATAGTAAGAACTTAGATCACTGCACTCATGAGATTTAGTTGCACACCTTCCCATAATTTGCTGGTATCCTTTCTCAATATTTGGTAAAGAATGTTTAATAAATCAACCAAATCTCATAAATTTTTTGAGTGAGTCATTGCTATCAGGACTTTCTATCTTCATAAGGATGTCAGAAATATGTGAAATAGCTTTACAGTTAAATATCTATAAGATATCTTTGACTATTAGATTTTTCACTGCATTTCCAATTAAACTTGCATTACTGATTTAAAACAACATGCCAAATAATGATTATTGAAGGTACTAAGGGAAGGGGGATTAGAGACACTAAGCACTTTAAATATTTTGGTGTCCTCACATATGTTTGTTTATGTCAGCCTTTTCTTCATTTCTTCTCTTTCTCTTGGTTTTGGTTTAGCTGCACGATGCATTCCATGGTAAACCCAGTAATGGGGACTTTTGTTGAATACCTAAGGATCTTTTTGTGGTGCCTCTTTTCCTTAATGCCTTGAGCATGTGCTTATATTGCTTGAAGATTAATCCAGCCCTGTACTAAGGTATATCTTAGCATCTCCAATAATGTCATTACTGAATTAAAAAAAAAAATTCTTATATTGCAAATCTCATCCAATTTTAAATCAAATTTTGTTAAAGAATGTTAATGGATCCTTGTTTTATTTTTGTTACATAATTTTAAAGTAATGTTACTTATTGATTGTATTAGTTTATTTTATATAGCTTTCCTACCCCTCAAGAAACAGTAATTATTGAGACAGTAGTTAGATTAGATTATTATTGTGCCTAAAATAATACTTTTCTTTTGCAGAAATCAATTTAAAGAATGCCAGCATTAGTATTTTTGAACCGAAAATGGCTTATTGCTTCTGATGATCTTATGATACCATGCTTAGCAGAGGCATTTCTAAGACTAGTATGGTAATATAATGTTATTTGTTAAAATGGTTAAATATATATAATTTGTAATTTATTGGATATTTGCTTTTTTAGACCCATGCTATTACTTACATTCTTTCGTGTTCAGTTAAAATGTGTTTCATACTGGAAATAAAATTACTATAATTTTGTTTGCAATGCAGTAATGAGTCCTTATCTTTTAATATTTTTAATATAAAATCCTTTTTGTTTGCATTTGCATCCACTTATTTTCCTTTCATGTATCATAAACATTAAGTCTCTTTTTTTCAACCTTAACTTACAGCATCCAATAATCTGAAATATAAGTGAATAGTAATGCTAAAATATATTGCTTAAGTTTAATATTTTTTGTTCAGAAGTAAATCCCAAAACAATTGGAAAATTCTTTTTCTTATACTTTTCTACTGAAAAACTATAAAAGTATAAAACTATAAAAAGATTACTGTAAGATTAAAAAAATCAGTTTTCTGTGCAGTTGATAATGCAAGCTGGCGAGGTGATAAAAGAAATCATATTCTGTGTATAATTATAAATGATAAATAACAGTTTCTTTCAATGTAGTTTTTATAAAATGATTATCGTTAATAAACTTATATGAAATATGACTAATTAATTAAAAACTTTTTTATTGATATAGGCTAACTGCTGGCTTAATTATAATGATGTTTAAGAGTAGCAGTTGCCATGAATCTCAACTTGGTGATTATTATATGTATAGCTGTATTGGGGATCTTTTAGGAACATCTTGTCTGTCAGCAGCAATTTCTTTTGTGAGTAGTAGAGGTTCTGTTCTAGAGGTACGTTTAAAAATGAAACACATTTCTCATCTTCTTCTGAATAATTTTCAGACTTTAATAGTATTTTATTTTAATTATTATGTAAAATATTTAAACCTTTTTTTTATTTGTACTAATTTGTGTTTTAAAATGTAAATTTACTATATTTTGAGCTTAAAGCCTACATCTACGTTTTCTTACTAATGATCAGCTTCTATAACTTATTTATAGTTTGACAAATATTAATCATAGAAATTTATTTTAAAAATGCAGAATCTCAGTTAGAACAATGAAGTATCATCATCCTTTTTATTAGTGCAATTCTAAGAGCAGTTTTTTTTATTTCTTAAGCATTATACCTTTTAAAAATTAATAAAACTGATGAAGATAATTAGCAGTAAGCAATTTCTGCATAGTAAAAGGAAATTCATAAGTGTTCCTCTTAATATTTTATGTAAATTTTTAATCAAATTCTGTGGTGACATTAATGTTAAAATTGCTAATAAATTTAATCGGTTTTGAGATGCCAGAAATGCAGTTTATAACAAAATGGCTATAGATGTGTATTGTTAAATTCTGGTAGTGAATAAGGTCCTCTGAAAGAAACATCTAATGCTAAAGTAATGTATATAAAATTGCAATAAAATGATGTCTTTTTTTTTTTTTTTAATTTGAAAAACTGAAGATAGAAATTATTCTTTTATCTTACAGCTATATTAATAAACAAATTACTTTTGATGTGAAAGAATTTTAACATATATATATGTTTTGTTTACAAATGTAAAAATCTATTTATAACATTATAGTGATTTGAATAACCTAGAATAATTAAATTATGCTTGAAGAATTAGTTAAATTTCATTTGTAAATAAATAACAAACTACGCAGGTGTATATTAGGATAAGTAGATAAGAATCGGGAATTTGTAGATCATGAAGCATTTCAATGAAATTTTGGATGAAGGGTTTCCTGGATAATTCTTATATATGTTGAGTAGTAATAAAAACAAATAATATTTTTTTAAATAGATAAGTATCATCTTTTAGGAAAAGTGATAATATGGCTGTGTGATATTAATAAATATTAATTTTTGGAGCAAATTTATATGTGTTGATCATTAGAAACTGAAATAGTCAACTACTTATTCTTTTAAAATATCATCAAAGAATGCATATGTGCTGAATGATGAAACAGTTATTATATATCCTATTAGTAATATATTGGCTTGCATTTTGCTGTAATTATCATCAGCCATACTGCTCAGTAACGATTTAATGAAGAATTGACCATGAAAAGATAACATTGGCATTGAATATTTCGAAAGTGCTTGCATAGAACATTCATTCATTCTTTCTCAGTAATTTCTAGTTGGTTTTTAGTTAGTGATGGCATTCAAGCATTATAAATTAAATTGAATGTTTCTCTGACTACATTCAATTATCACCTATGCATTGTAGCATTTTCCTCCCTTGAAAATGTGTCATTTTATGGAAAAGAAAGTGTAAATGGATAACGAGGATGTTTGAAGTTTTAAATTAAGATAAAGGCTTCCATAATGCTGAGATATTCTGTATAAATATACGTATACACTTTAAACTGTTATATCATATCAAACTTGCTTACATTATCGTGATTTTGACATCAAGAAGCCGTAATTATACATCACCTATGATATACCCATAAATTTTCAGCGGCGGATTAGAGCTGAAACCATGATCTGATGGTCCCGATGAGGGGTTTCCAGTTTGCCTGTCTCAATTTGCAACAGAATTTTAAAAACTATAGCTTAATCTTTTAAATCTTGTAGAAAACAAGGGGACATAAAAAGAGTATCTGCTGCCATAACATTCGTTTGCCTTGGTACGAGGGAATTCTTTTTATGCAGATTAGTAGATGGACTTTTTAAAATTTTGATATGATTTTTAGCTATTGGATTTCTAGTGAAGATGCAGCATAGTCAGGTGCGCATTTTCTTCTTTGGCTTGGAACATTACTGTTTTCACTGAGCTGAAGTAAACATGTAATGGCCTGTTGGAAAATTTTGATAGTTTAGCACTTGCTGAAGTTGATCAGCCAGCCTTCAAGGCACCTGCAACTTGGGGTTGATTAAAATCACTGATATTGTTGTCTTTATCTATGATGTTATGCTTATAATTGTTTTCCAATATATGCAGACTACTCTGTTTATAGAAATTGTTGAGTTCAGCATATCCATGATAAAGTAGAGATCTGCGTCAGGATCAGAATGAAGATCTTCACTCTGCAATTGGCATGTAACTGCATAAATTTTAATTCAAAACTTTTGATTTCACCTTAGGATCTTTCATGAAATATTTGATTACATGCCCTCGCACTGTTCCCTGAAATGAAGAGATGAGCCTTCACTAAAATTGATCTCAAATGCAATGCAGAAATTTAGCTGGTGCCACCATCTGATGTGGAATGCAGTTGGTACTACAGTCATCATTTAGAATAATTTTTCTTGTAAAATAAAATATATGCATACAGAGTGTGCACTAAATAAAAGTGAAGAAACATTTTTGCAATCATAAAAATATAATGACACAAGTTCTTGTAAAAGTAATAAAAATAAAGTAATAAAAGTAATTAACAAGTTGGGCCCAAACTCACAATCTGAGTGTTCAAAGGAAAGTCTTATATGCACTGATATCTGCATCTTGCCAACAAGGTTGTATATAACAATTGTCTTTTAAATTTATATGAATTACAGTGGGTTATAGATTGATCTGTATTATTTTAATTTTGTATTGCAAATTTTTATGCACAGATCATTTATGACAAATGACTCCTGATTTCATATTAAACAGTAAATTTCGCTTTCTTGTTTAACCGATACATATACGAGGGTAAGCTGAAAAATAAGTTTCCCTGTCGACTGTGGTAAAAGTAATTAACAAGTTGGGCCCAAACTCACAATCTGAGTGTTCAAAGGAAAGTCTCATATACACTGATATCTGCATCTTGCCAACAAGGTTGTATATAACAATTGTCTTTTAAATTTATATGAATTACAGTGGGTTATAGATTGATCTGTATTATTTTAATTTTGTATTGCAAATTTTTATGCACAGATCATGTATGACAAATGACTCCTGATTTCATATTAAACAGTAAATTTCGCTTTCTTGTTTAACCGATACATATACGAGGGTAAGCTGAAAAATAAGTTTCCCTGTCGACTGTGGTCAGAGTTGTGTATGAAAGTCAAAAAATAGAATGAGACAGTAAAGATATGATATACCTTTATTTTTCCACATAGGTACCAAGTACATTGAGATATTTGTCATATCGCTTGATAAGCTTCAAAAAGCCCTCCAGGAAAAAATCAGGGCTTTGCATATGGAAGAAGCGTTGAACGGCTATGGGCGAAACGCGACACAGCAGGAAAACGCGCAAGTCACCGATACACCATTGGGTAGAGGTCGCTGCAAATCAAGCAGATGGCGCTGTTGCAGTGCCTGCGCAAAGCGGAGAGCAGCCTCTCATTTGAGCCCCGGTAGGTGGAGAGAAGGTGCGTTTTGAATTCGTGGTCAAAGGAGGAAGTGAGAGCAGTTATCCGCTATGAATGGGCACGTGGAGTATCAGGAACAGAAATTCATAACCGCCTCGTGGAAGTCTATGGGCCAGGTATGATGTCGAAGCAAATGGTGCGGAGATGGTGTCGCACATTCAGTGATGGACGTCAGCAAGTGGAGGACATACCGAGAGCTGGACGGACGCGCACGGCCACTACAGATGCAAATGTCAGGAAGGTGGATGACATGATTAGAGCGTACCGGCGTATCACCATCGATGAAGTAGCGGAAGAACTTGGAATCTCACATGAGCGAGCTCAAAACATCATCCACGACATTCTTCGATACATAAAAGTGTCAGCACGATGGGTCCCCCGACAATTGACCTCGACACACAAGGAACAACGCATGGGGGTCAGCCTGGAACATCTCGTGCGTTACCATGAAGATGGCAATGACTTTCTGTTTCGGATTGTGACGGGGGATGAAACGTGGGTCCACCATTTCACGCCAGAATCGAAGGCCGCATCTATGGAGTGGAAACATCCGTCATCACCTGTCCGAAAGAAATTCAAGACAACTCCCTCTGCAGTTAAAGTGCTCCTCACAGTTTTCTGGGACGCCCAAGGAGTTTTGTTGCTGGACTTTTGGAGGTTGGAACCATCAATGCTACGCGCTACTGTGACACCCTGTCGAAATTGAAAGAGGCGATTCGGAAAAAAAGCGGCCTGGCCTTCTCACATCTAGCGTTCTGCTGTTGGATGACAATGCCAGACCACATTCGGCGAGGGCAACGCAAAACCATATTGCAACTCTTGGTTGGGAGCGCCTACACCATCCGCCATACAGTCCTGATCTCGCACCAAGCGACTTCCATCTGTTTCGGCTTTGAAGAAAAATCTCGGGGAAAGGCGCTTTGGAAGCAATACTGAAGTGAAACAAGCCGTTCAACGCTTCTTCCATATGCAAAGCCCCTGATTTCCTGGAGGGCTTTTTGAAGCTTATCAAGCGATATGACAAATGTCTCAATGTACTTGCTACCTATGTGGAAAAATAAAGGTATGTCATATCTTTAATGTCTCATTCTATTTTTTGACTTTCATACACAACTCTGACCACAGTCGACAGGGAAAAATTATTTTTCAACTTACCTACGTATTTAATAGCACTTTAGTTACATTGTTAGAAATCAGATAATTGAATGTTTAACATGAAGAAAAATCAAACTTATAGTGGATATTTTATTTTATCAAATTATCTAGAATGGAGAGATAAAGCTGAAATTTTTTTATCTATAATGATTTAATTTTGCATACTAAGTTTGTTAGTTTATATGTGTAATTGCTATATGTTAGATCTTTCTAGTGAATAGTCTTACCAAATCTGGTTTGCTAGAAATTTGAATTTATGTATAAGTTCTTTGTTGCTGAAATTTTGAATTTTTTAATGTTTATACTAGCACCGAATTATTCATAATATCCTCCGCGCTTTCAAAACGCAATAAGCGAAAAAAAAAAAAAGATGAATACAGCAAAAACGAACCTTGCATAAAATACAAAAATAAATCACGTTAAAAAAATGCAGGAGTAATCAAGTATAATAGCAGCTGGAGTAGATGGCAGCACACATCCGACTGAAAGCCATAAGTGAATCAAAATGGCTTTCACGGGTGAACAAAAAGCTTTTTTTATGTCCTAGAACTTGCTCATTCGGAATCAGTGGTGTAGGTGCACCGGGCATTTCATACGAAATAATTGGGACCTATGCAGGGACCCACTGACAAAACAATTCATGTGTGGTAACAAGTTAAAAGAAACTAGACGTTTGTGTGATAAGCAATGAAGTAGTCGGTCGGGTCCGACTGCAGAACCGTAAGCAAAGAATATGAATGGAAGCCCAGTTCAAATTCTTTGCCGTAAGTGATATATGGAAAATGTTTTTGAGAAACCGATGAAATTAACCGTTCGTGCAAGCCGTAAATTGAGGATTTCGCAACCAACACTCTGGTGAGTGGTATGCAAAATTCTGCACATGAAGCCATATCGATTGCAAATGATGGAAACACTGACTTTGGAGGGTTGCATTTCTTATATAAACTTTTGCATCGATGTCCAAGCGGATGATTCACTACTAAAGAAAATTACTTTTAGTGATGAATCTTCACTTGTCCTTAGTGATGAATTCACTTGTTCGGCAAGGTAAACCAGCACAACTTCCGCATCTGGGTCACCAAAAAAATCCTCCTGCAGTAGTGGAATATTGTCGTGATTCCCTGAACGTTAATGTGTTCTATACTATCTTCTCCTCACATGTGTACATGCCATTCTTTTATAGAAGGGATTGTTACCGACGTACACAATTACATGAACTGTAGAAACATTAGGTATTTTTAATAACAGGAGAGATAAAAAATGAGCAACGCCTTCGCCGGGAATCGAGCCACGGACCTCTGTAATACGTGCCCAGCGTGCTGATCACTACACTACGAAGGCATGCCAAGAAGGCAAGAGAAAGACCTTATATATTTCTCCTTTTAAAGGGCGACTGGTATTTTTAGGGGACACAATCGCCAAATCCTGGGTGTGGAGAATCATCATCCACCACCCTTTTAATTCGGGCGCCACTGTAGAGACATTAGATATTTTTAATAACAGGAGAGGTGAAAAATGAGCAACGCCTTCGCCGGGAATCGAACCACGGACCTCTGGAATATGCGCCCACTACACTACGAAGGCATGCTAAGAAGGCCGTAGAAATACCAATGCACATAATCAAATTAATGCAATGTAATATGCATATTTTAAATGTATTTGTCTTTGTATATGTAAGATTATGTACTATGTACCTTATTTGTAATATGCCACCATACGTAATATGTACCTCAATTGTAACATGCTGTATGAACCAAAATATTATTGTATGGCAATGTACTATCTGCCAAGGCCCTTGTATGGCACTGTATTTAAAATCGGTGACTAGTGTCAGGGGGTTCATGTGGCCCCTCACCCTTTCCCATACCATCTTGGGGTGCTCTAGACAAGGGGGACGTGGCGCTATACCAATTAACCGCTATGGTAGAGGGGTGGTGCTCGCGTCCTCCGTCACTTATCACTTATAGATTATAAAACAATTATATGAACATGAGGATAATGTTTTCATCTTTCAACAAGTTGGAGCTCCAACCAGAGCTTAAATTGCGCCGGAACCCGGCTCCGGTACTTCTTAGATTTCGGGATAGATCATAATTCTAGCAGGAGCCCTAAATAAGAAAGCTCCGGCACTTCTTTTATATGAACGAACAATTATTCAAATTCAGCAGAAATCTGATCTCGAAAATTTTATTTTTAACAATATAAGTTATATTAAAAATCAATTCTACTTTCTGATTGCATGCTTCTCTTTACTTGGAAAACAAACACTAAGACGGGGGTCGAGACTTTTAAGGAAAGAAAAGCTTCCACCCGCATATGAAAAGCTTATTTCATGAAAGTACAGTGAATTTATGACAGCAGGTAAATTTTTCATTTCAATCCTAGCGTCTTCCCTTGGAAAGCACTTGCAAAATTTTCAGAAAGATGTAATCAAAGACGGGGAATGAAAGTTGTCATTTGTTGCATTTTTATCAGCTAACCCTCGGATTTGGGAAAAATTTGTTCCCCTATCACATTCTGCTTGACAACTAGGATTATATTGACAGGAGATCGTTGTCAGATGGAATGTTGGACTCTTCTCAAAGCACTGGACTTCTTTCTTTTTGTTTTCATTTTTAGAGATCATCCATTAAAATTTTCTTCATATTCTGTTGCTGTGTATAGCATTCTCTCTAGTCTCATTAGTCATGCTTTAACCATTTCAACGTTTTGCATTTGTGTGCTGGAAAAAGAAATGATCTTTATTTCTATGAGCCCTTGAAATATTACATTATATTCAGGTCTTAAATTCAACTGGAGACAAGTTGAGCTATTTTTCAGTTTTTGTGTGAAATTTGAATTCCATCCGCAACGCCAAACAAGTCAAGGTCCAGTACTTTATTTTATTATTTAAATATTAACCATTTATTTAATGACTTATTATGTTTATATTTATCTTCTTTACATTTTATTAATAATTTTAATTATTAAATTATTTAATTATTTGAATAATTTATTTTTAATTAATTATCTTATGAGTCATTTTACTGATTTATTTACCCTAGATCCTATTTCCTGACGGTCTTCCATAGCGCTATGGCACTTCTAATTTTAGAAATTAAGGCCTGGCTCCAACCCAGGGTTAGCTTCCAAAGATGACGTATCTATTTTTCCATGGCCCGCATGCTCACCGGATTTAACACCATGTGATCTTTTCTTCTAGGGCTATGTAAAAGACCTTGTTTTCTTACCCCTCTTTTCCGTGTGATTTAGCAGAACTATGTGAAAGGATGACACACGTGCTGTCAATGCCTTTGATAGTACCATGTTGAATAGAGTCTGGCAGGAAATGGACTATCACATTGATGTATGCTGTGTGACCAAGGTTTGCACATAGAACACCTGTAAGGGCTGTAAATAAAACTTGAATTGTTTCTGCATTTAGTGCATGTTCGTTTTTGTTCTATTCATCTTAGTTTTTTTTTTTTTTTTTTTTTTTTTTTTTTTTTTTTTTTTACGTCTAAATGGGCAATTTGGCCAAAAGAACTATTAATCTCGTTTTGGCATTCTGCGTTGGTTCATGATAAATGTCAGTTCACTTTTCAAATTGTTGCCACCAAATATTAGAGCCCTGCATTATATTTAAAGAATTAAATGATGAAGAATCTGTGTAAATGTATGTGTGTACGTTTCTAGCATTGTGATAAAACAACGGTACCTAAAGCTATCAAATTTTGCATAATGTACGGGGACGTAGAAGCCCAAATTTGGAATCTGTTTCATTATCTATTTCATATTTTGTAAAACTTTTAACGAATGTTTTGATTAACAAACGCAACGATTTCAAAGCGAGCAGTGGCAATACTGTACGGGGGGGGGGGAATAGTTTCTCTATCGCGTGACACTACATATCAGAAATTCCAAAGATATGCTGATTTTAAAATTATTTCGCGATATTGCTTTTGAACTGAATTTTATGGTTTATGTGCGAAGAACATGGTATTTAATAAATAAAGGTAACACACAAAACGTTAAAAAAACGCCCTTTTGGGCGTAATGTAAATCGGAAAGCTTTCAGATTTTATTTATTATTTTTTTTTTACTATAGTCTTCTAAAACCCCCAAGGAAATTATGAATAACTCGGTATATTATAATACAAATTAAGTAACTGTATAGTTAACAAAACTGCTTTGCTTTGCAGGAAGGGAAACGAAAATTTATTGAAAACTATTATGCATTAAGCTTATTACAGTTTTAGTTGACTGTACAATAGCTTTCTTTGGAATTTGGCTCTTCATGGAAAACTTTTGTACCGAAAAGAAAATTTTTATTAAGGTAAATTAATCTATTTGGTTCATGAGTAACAACCAAGTGATTTTATGAATAGTGTAGTTTTACAGTGGTTCACATTTGTTTTTGGACACTTGTGTTTTGCAGTTTTATTTGCAAATTCTAGGTATTAAATATTAGCGAAACGCCTTTATTTTTCTTTATATACTTTTGATCATCTTTTTTAAAGCCTGCTTATTTCGAATTAAATTTTTCAAAATGATTCTGGTAATATATATAATTGTTTTTAAAACGGACTCAAATAAGTATTTAGACACTTTGAGTAAACAGTTAAATAAAAACATGAAAATAATAGAGCATTAAATACACTCACTTCCGAAAGTTAAGCATGAAGATGTAAAATGCAAAAAAATCAACAAATACTGCTTTGATTGACACAAAATTCGTCAGGAAAGTAGCATATATATTTATGCATAAAACAAAATCAATAATTATATACAGAAATGAAAACAATACTAAATTTTTGTAAGTTATCAGATAATGACATACTCGAGACTTAAACAGAATTATGTATAAAGTGAAAATAAACACATAAAATGAAAAAAAAAAAAAAAAAAAAAAAAAAAAAAAAAAAAGGACATTAATAGGTTATGTGATCCCCCTCATCTGTATACAAAGTTTACACGTTGTGACCATGCTTTCAATTAGGTGGTCAACCACCGCAGAATTAAGCAATCGCCATTCTTCTTGTAGAGCAGTTTCCAACTCAATAAGAGTGGCTGGAGGTGGGAAACGTAAAGATACAGCACGGCCGAGAGCATCCCAAAGATTTTCAAAGGGATTAAAGTCGGGCGAATATGCTGACCACGCCATACGCGCAATCCCTTCACTCTCCAGGTAGTCATCGATGATGTCAGCTCTATGGGGACGTACGTTATCGTCTATTAAAACAAAAGTAGGGCCAACTGCTGCAGCATACAATCTCACAATGGGTTCTAGGACTTCATCTCGATACCTGACAGACACACTTGACGATAGATCTCAGACCCAGGTCATATTATAGAGGACCCATACAGAGTTTAGATATCTATAGTCCAAGGGACCTCATCCTCGCGGCGCAACCCCCACAGTCCCCGCCCGGTTTTTACAAAGCTTTGGGCAGAACGAATCGTTGCTATGCAAAAACTCTGGCACCTTGCCTCCGGGCACCACTCCATTGGCAAACGTACGTTGATGTGGGTGCTCTGTCCATTCTGTCAGACCCCGCCACGAGAACTGAATGAGGCCAAACCCCCGGGGATTCGGTTGACGATTTCCGATCTAGCTCCACCCTACCCGAAGGAACAGACACGACAGTACCAGTACGGTCCATCCCAAGCCTGTACCAACCTGAGTACAATACTCGGGCTCTAGTCCTGTGAAGTCAACCCCCCGTGGTTGAGACTGCCTAGGTACAAATCCTAACCAGTACTTCCCAGGCATTCGCCTGAGTCAAGCCCCGGGGAGGGGCTTGATACCCGACAGCTGTCAAAGAACCCCGTTTAAAGAAGTGCAGGTCGGTGCGGTATCCTAATGAAATCCCTGCCACTTCGGAATGCGTGATGTTCGGTGATGTTTTGGGTGTTCGTTGTTCATGCCATATCCTTATACGCTTGTCATCTGGCTCCAGAGAAAATCTTGACTCATTAGTAAACACGACATTGCCCCAGTCAGATACATTTCATTTGACATGTTCCCGGCACCACTGTAATCGTGCCTCTCTTGATTGGACGGATAGAGGAACACAAACTCGAGGCACCCGGGCGTACATTTCACTCATATGTAATCTTCGGCGTACAGTAGCTGCAGATATCGCCTTACCAATGGACGCTGTAACCATAGATGTCACACGTGTGAAGGTCGCTCTGCGATTCCGCTTGGCTACAATAGCAATATATCGATCTTCCACGATCCTTGGAAGACCGGCTACGGGCCTTCGGACAACTGTCTGTATGGTTTGGAATTGTTTCCATAAACGTGAAATTACAGAATGATGAACGCCGAAGAAAAGAGCAACATCTGTGATCGACTGTCCTGCTTCAATGCGCCCCAGAATACGCTAGCGCTCAGAATCTTCCGTTCGTCTTCTGGAAGTCATAGAAGCGCATATGTCTTGAGAACAAATTGTACGAAAGTTTTAAACACCTTCTATCAGCACTTACAATCAACTTCTTTACCCTTCATAAAGCTGGCTTCTTATAAGACTGCCTTTTTTGCATATTTCTTGACATGAAAGCGCGATGGGCTGTTACTTAAACATATTTGCATACTTCCATCTACCTCTGCAGCGAATTGCATCCTCTTCAATTCTGATTGGCTTCCAAAAATTAGCATTTTCCTCTCCATGCTGAACTTTTGGAAGTGAGTGTATTTTGTTGGATAATTAGAATTATTCTTTTCATGCACTTTTGCGTTGATTCACTAATTTTCTCGTTTAATAATGTTCAACCTCGTTCCATTCTTCCATAAGAATTGCTTTTAGTAAAACTTTAGAGAAAATATCGTGTTTCCTTAGTTTTTTCTCCAACTCACTCCATCTATGTTCGATAGAGTTCAAGTCTGGAGAATATGGAAGAGTTTTGATTATTTCAGGACACCTTCAGGACAAGAGAATATTTAGGGTTGCATGTTTAGGATCGTTATCCTGAAATAACTTGTATATATTTTACATTCCAAGTTTTCTTGTAGATGCTTTCAGGTTTTCATTAAGAATATTTATAGATTTATACTGTTGAATATTACTTTTTATGAAAAATTTCCTTCGCAGTTGCAGCAAAACAACTGCAGACTCCTAAGTCTCCACCCCAGCGTTTAATAATAGGCATTAGAGTTTTCATATTCAAGCCTTCATTCCAGTTTTGCCCCATAAGTCATCCAGTGGATTCAGATATATTAAATTTTGACAAACATAGCATACGTGCTTACCACTGATTCTGCAAACGCCAGGCCTATTTTCTTTGTTTTCTTGTTGACGAAGAATTTCCTTCTTGCTGATCATCCATTCTATCCATTTGCTCTAAAGACTCTTTTAATAGCTTCATGGTTACGTTTAATTGAAAACTGTTCTTCTAAATACCTCATAAGTTTTATAGCACTATATTTTGGGTTTTGTTTGACTTCTAATTTCAAATTCTAACAAATTTCTGATTCTTTTGTGCTGTCTTGGAATGTGTTTCAGACTTCAGTAGTGCATTTTGAACTATTCCACGTGGTTTCCCTTATTATAATATCATCGAAAATGGTTAAATGCTTTACACTAAAAATATTTTGGATATTTCAAATACTTTTACCATCTTTAAAATTAATTTAAACTAAAAAAAATGTTTAAATTTTTACCAGAAAATTTTCTTGATTTGTAGCTTCTTGCTATGTTTACTTCAAATATGAGATTGTTAATATATTTTGCCACACAATTATTAACTTCCAAATGAAGATGATAATTCTTATCATGTACTTTTGTTTAAAACAAAAAATTATGATAAGAAATATTGATTTCTAAAACATCTCAGCAAAACTTTTGAGTGTCCGAATTATTATGTAAGTTAATGAATAACACATTTGAAACAAATTAGCTTGATGATATTTATTTTGCAACAAGCAAGGCTTAAAATAGAGAGCAAGTAATATGGTAGGAAAAAATTCGAAGTCTGTATTGTACCAGATTTAGTACCAGATTCATAGAAATAAATTTCAAAATACAAATGCCCCAAAACAAATGTGTGCCAATGTGTGTTTTGCATGGGAAATTTGTTGAAATGCTGCTTATCTTTCCCAGAATTATATGAAATGTAAAATTTTGAAATGTAGTTTAAGTCTTTCAGAAAAGAAAATAGAAGAAACTTTTTCTCAGAGAAACACTTGTACATCATGTTGAATATTGAATCATGGTGAACATGATGGTATTTAAGTAGTACTTTAGTGGTGGCATGATGTTATTAAAGTGAATATTGAATTTTCTGTTATTACTTTGTTATTTGATTTTAATGTAAACAAATGTATTATATCTCAGCTATAAGTAACTTCTGGATTTATATAACTTAAATATATATATATATTAAATTTTAACAAACAGTATATACATAAAAAGTAAATTTAATTTATATATATAGGGAACTGTAACTGGGGGAATTTACTGTATATCTGTGAAACTGGTGGTTTGAGCAAGTGAAATAAATATTGTAGCCAATCTTTTAATATAAACACTACTGCTAATATAAACTGTTGGATTAACTGTAACAACAAGGGTGACCTCTGGTGAGTAGCCAGAGAAGGACTTCAGTAAAAGCCAAGTGTTTGACCTGATAGTTTGCTTCAGACTCTAGCTCTGTAATTTTCTTAAAGTTAAATGTAATGTGTAACTTAAACTTGTTAATAAATAATTGTTACACTATAAAGAACTCTTATATGACCCTATGCAACATAACCCTTTATAATATATTAATAAAATAATCCATAAATTAATGTAAAAACAGATGATATATTCTTAAAAATATTCCATATTTAACTGGAAAAAGTGATCATATTCTTTAGTTGAAGTCTAATTAACTTTTTAATTTAATCAGAAATGGTTTTGTATTTGGTGTGCATCACTTTATTGAAATTATTGCATAATAGAAGTGCACTTTCTTCTTTAATAAAGTACTTTTTAATACTTGCTTTCACTGTAGCTATATTTTTATTTCACATCTTTTTAAGATTTTTGAATACCCCAGAATCTAATTGAATATCTTCTTAAAAGAAGAACATTTTTTTTTCATTCTGTCCTTACAAAAAATTGGTGATGAAAAATTTACTTAGTAAACGTGCACGCAATTTCTTTTTAAACCGCTATCAATCAAAGAATTAGTATATTTTGAATATTTGGATTTTTAGTGAATCACAAAACCCATCAATTCAAGAAACTGAAAAGAAGAAAGAATGAAACAATAATGAAACAGTTTTAAAGCTATTATTGTAGCCAACATTTTAAATCAAATCATATTAAAAGTTTTCAGCTTTTCAAAAAT